TTTTTTGGTACCGGGGATCAAACTCAGGTCTTTGCGCTTACGAGGCAGGTGGCGAAACCACTGAGCTAAATCCCTGGCCCTGTTTTTTAACATTTTTAACACTTTGTTTCATTTTTTAAATTGGTATTTTTGTGTGTTTTATTTATTGATTGATTTTTTTTTTTTTCTTCAGTACTGGGGATTAAACTCAGGACCTCAGATTTGCCAGACAGGCACTGTGCTGCTGAACTAAATCCTCAGCGCTGTGTTTTATATTCCTTTGCTATCCTAATGATAGGCCATACTTGAGTTGTAAATTACAGTTTCATTTTGCTAAGTAGATTTCAAATATAATTTTCTCTCAGAAATGTTGAAAATGAGTATACTATGGAATAACAGAACACTGTCCTAGGAAGAAAGTCTGTGGCTTTAGCCATCTACTTCAAAGAGTCAGTGTCTAGGTAGCACGTAAGGTCCCTTCCAACCCTGAAATTCTGTAATTGGTTATAATAGGTTCTTGTTAACTATCTATTTTTGAGCTTGTTTTTTATGGCTGTAAAGCAGACAGTGTTGAATTGACTATAAGAAAATGTAAAAATAGATATGAAATAAAACTTAAGTTTTCTTTGCTAGATAGTAGGTCAGTGGTAGAGGTATTGCCTACCATGTGCAGGGCCCTGGGTTCAGTTTCCAAAACAACTGAAAAATATGTTTGCTTTTAACCTTATCCTAGTAATGTAATTTTTAAAATTACAATCGTTTATAAAAGTTTAAAAAGTAAAAAATGAACACATCATGAAACTCATACTGCTTACTTGTAGAAAAACAGAATTTTAGAAAACCTAATAGTCATTGTAGTTTTTACTTTGAGATAGCAAATTTAAATTGTTCACATTTGCATTCACTGTGATGAAGTTGTTTGATGATATTTGAATTAAAACTACTCTTTTTTGCCCTGTGTAGGTTTGATATACGCTTGATGAAAGAAGGTCGAATGAAAGGACAAGCTTTCATAGGACTTCCAAATGAAAAAGCAGCAGCAAAAGCCTTGAAGGAAGCTAATGGATATATTCTATTCGGAAAACCCATGGTGGTTGTATCCTTTAAATCAGTCTGTCCCAAAACTATATAATTTTTAAAAGAAGGGTATAATGAACTAATTCTCATGCTTCCTCAGCAACTCAGCAATTCTAACTTGAGTTACTTAGTTACAGTGAAATATACCTTAGCTGAGTCAGATTACAATCTTATTTAGATTTTTATTGGAAAAGAAAGGCAATTCAAAAGTGAGGTTACAAAATTTCATGCATATCTAAATGTTTTCATTTATGCATCCCAAAAGTTCATCCTTATACTAGACTTAAGAGATTATAGTATCTAGAAATACATTTGGTATCACCAAAAAGTAATTGTAGTTTTATGATTTTATTATAATTCACATTTCTGGTTAAGAATTTTAAAACCAAAATATTAATTAACCATCTTGTGGTATAAACTAGGAATCAGCAAGATAGGTAAAGGTATAAATGTCCACTTGTAAAAATTAGTGGAGGTTAATTCTTATTTCTCTTCCACATGAGCAGGAGACAGGACGTAGTCAAAATAAATTTAAAAATTATATTCCTACTCTATATTAGAAAGTTTCTGATAATTTAGAAAAAAAAAAAAAACTTTCATGTTTATGAAGAAAACCTTAATTTTAAAATACTAGCAATTTGCTCGATCTGCTAGGCCAAAGCAAGATTCTAAAGAAGGAAAAAGAAAGTGTTAAAAACTAGTAACGGTAAGTATGGATAAAACCTACTAAAAAGACAGTATTTTATTTTTTAAAGTAAACTTACGCATGGGTGAAAGTTTAATGAATAATGATTCAGGTATCTAAAGAATTTTTAAGGAGATATCTATACATAAAATTGATTTCCATTAAACTTCAAAATTATAACGATAGAATAAAGTCTAATTGTATATAAAGATTATTATATAAGGAGAATGTGTGTTCTTTATTTACTTTTTCTGCCTAAAGAAGTTCTTTTAAAGTTCAGCACTTGGAAGAGCGTAATAAGACAGATTGCTAGGCTTTCTCCCCAACCAAGAGTTTTTGATTCAGTCATTGAAGTCAGGGACTAGCAGTCCCAGTTATCTTGCAGCTGAGGGATATCTCAGCATGCACTACTTGTCTAAATGAGCAAAGTATCTGGCATGCCAGAATAAGTTGGTCACCCTGGTAGTACCTGAGCCTTTGCACACCATGGATTTCTTAGGTAGTAATGGGGCAACTGGTGTAGAAGCCATACTTCAAAAACTGAGCAAAGCAGTTATAGCAAGATTTTCCAGTTCTTAATATTGTATAGTGCTGAATATGTAAAATTAATTTTTAACACCCTTCAGAAAGACATGTTATTGTGGAATTGACTCTTTTGTCTCTGAAGCAAGTAACTTTAATACTTAAGTAATTTAATGGTTAGAAATGATAAGAATTCAGCATTTTAAATTCTAAAGTTGTGTTACTTTAAGAAATAGGTGAAAAGGGCTGGGGATTTAGCTCAGTGGTTTCGCCGCCGGCTGAGCAAGCTCAAGGACCCGAGTTCGATCCCCTGTACCAAAAAAAAAAAAGAAAGAAAGAAACAAGAAATAGGTGAAAATATATTCTTTTAAAACTTTTTCTCCCTTTGTAAACTAGAACATGAAATGAATTTAGTAAAGATGCCTTGAATATTTAAATTTTGTTTTAAAGTATCTGTAGTAGTATAGTCAGAAGTGCATAAATACCTTAGAGGAAAACTGAGTAATTTCAATATGTGGTTAAGAAAGTTATTTCTTTGTGAATCTCATACTGAAAAATAAGAAAAAAATTTAAACTGCATTCTGCTGTTCTTCTTTAGAAGCATTCCTGCGTGCATACTGCTGTAATACTGTCATGCAAAATGTATCCTTTCTTGTTGTATCCTTTTTGGGGCAGTGTTTTTTCTTTTTTCTTTTTTTTTTTTACTAGAAATGTTTTGTCCCTATTCTATTCATTGGTTCAGACTAAATTTTTTTATACTTTATGCAAATGAAATATTTCTCAAATTGTATACCTTGAAAGAAATTTATGAGTTTTTTTTAGATTTGTTGTTGAATTTTCTTTGCTGTTATTTAGGTTATATAACTTTTCCAGGGAAAGTTAGTGAATCAGGTCAACTTACAAGAGAATGTATGCATTTACTTTAACCCAGAATGTGGTCTTGTGTTTCTATTTGTGTATTTGCTAAACCTAATTCAGTAACATATGGTTTCTATCTTAAGATATATGTGATTTACACATTCTACATAAAATTTGAGTAGGGAAACAAATTGTTTTCTTTTTAAAAACACGTATATTGAAAATTAAATTTTTATATAAATCCCAAATTGAGTAGCAGACCTCACATTTGAAGTCTTACTGAAATTTCCATTAATGTAGATAGCAAACAGAAGTCTTTTTACAAAAACCAAAAAAAAAAGACTAAGAAAAGAGTAACAAAGTGGAAGATACAATGTTGACTTAAGGTAGCTCAATGATGTGAAAAGAAATGATCCCAGAGAATATAAGAATAGTGATTCCCAGGCTTATCGACCACATCTATGATAAGAATACTTCTTAAACTTGGCTGCACATTGCAATGACCTGGGGACTTTGAAAAATCAAAAACAAAAATTTAAAATATATTAATATTAGATTCCCTCCTCAGAGAGTTGGTGCTATATTTTATTGGTTTGTAATGTTTCAAACTTTCCTAAGTGACTAATGTACAGTCAAAGTGGAGAACCACCAACGAAGTGTTTTTATTTATAAAGACTCTGAGACCTATCCTAAAAATGATAAATAGGAATCACTGGAAATAGGGTCCAGGAATCTAATTTGAAAAAGTTTCTTTAGTAATTTAAGGACTGGCCAGTTTGGATACTATTTTTTGAAGTAAAATGGTTGGAATAATCCTTATCAGCTGTGACTGCAAAAAACTTAGAGATACAGAAATAGCAAATTTTTTGATAAGCATGATTAAAATATTTTATTCTTTCATGTTACAAATTAGTTCCTGTGTAAAGTATTTATATAATTAAATTTGTACTGACACGATTCACTAATTTTCTAAATATTAGCTTAAGTTACTTTCAAACTGATTTTTGTAATAATGATTATTTTTAATGAGCTTTTGTGGTATTTTAGGTTCCTCTTGAATTCCATGTCTTTCAAGTTGTTTCCAACTTTGAGAAGAAATTGACCACCTGGAGTATGAAACTGTGCGTAACAGCTTTAAACATGTATTTAAAAATTAAATCAGTATCCATTTAAATAAGTTTATTGGAGATATATTACAACTCTTATAATGATGTGCCTCATATATAATAAATTATTTTTTTTCTGATAAAATAGTGCTTGTAATTTTTCATTATATTGATTTGTACATCTAGGAAAATGTAAAACATGAATTTCTTAATTTTATAATCTAAATTTTCTTTAATGATTATAAATACTATTTTCATTCTTATCAGGATACAGTGCACTTACATAAGTTTATTTTTAACATATTCTTAATTCTTGTAATTATTTTAGCAGTATTTATGTTTTTTGTTTGGCTTTGAGTTTTAGTGGAAGTTATGCTCTTTTTGTTTGTTTTTCTTGTTATTGGAGGATTTGTCTCATTTTAGGGGACATAAGTGTATATAAATAGGAAAACTTTGATATTTTATTTTATTTTATAATCTCCTGTGTCTAGGCAATAAATCTGTGTAAATCACAGCTTCCTTTTTACTTAAAATACACAAAGTGGGGAAAGGAAGAATATTAAAGGTAGGAATAGTGAAAATTTAAAAGACAATTATTAAGTCTTGCTTTCAAGTAAAATAAAGACATGGTCTTTGAGGGCAATATGATATCAAGAAGTTTCTTTTTTAACAGCAAGTTTTTTATTCTAATTAAGTTAATACAGGAAGGAAAAGGATGTGAATCATAGGTCTGGTATCTGAATAGAAAGGTTAAAGATAAATATCTAGAGAGCTCAACAGATTATGCACATCTAGAGGTCTTTACTGCAGTAGATAGTTAAAACAAAAATTTTATTTTCTCAATGAAATAGGAAGTCAGGTCATGAAAAAGGGAAGAAGTCATGAAGGATGGAGGAAAGAGAAAGGTGTAAAATTCAGATCAAGGCAAATGGGAGATTAACCATACCTTGGATGGATTGCTACTGGTAGGTAGTATCTAAAATACCTACTTGTGTTTGGAGTCCATGGTTGTTAAGTAAGGTCATCAGCATAATTTTCAATCTTTCTCCAGTTAAGTTCCATATCAGTGCAGTAACTGAGTTGAATTTAGTCAAAGTTGAGAATTTCTTTGATGAATACAACAAAGTTGGGGAAGGACAAAAGTTGATATATTCAAAGAATGTTTATAAAAGTGGTACACAGAAAATAATATGGCTAAGAAGTAAAGTGAGAAAATTAAAAGTATTAAGATAGGTTAGAAAATGGTATGATCAATTGTAGATTGCAGTATTGCAGTATAGCTGAAGATGTGTTGATGTTCTTTATCAGAAGTAGGAACTAGAAATTCATGAAATTGAAAAAGGTGACTGAAATTGAAAATATTAGAGAACAGTTATTAATGACTGTAAGTTCTATGTGAAGATAGGAGTAAGTAGAGACAGGATGATGGAAAGAGAGAAATTCAAAAAATTGAATATAAGCATTGAAAGTTATAGTGCCTAATTGCATTTTGAAATTAAGAATGACAGAAATAGTTACTTAGCCAAGATGTAAATTATTCTTACAGCATGTAGGGGTCAAGTACACAGAAAAGACTATATTTAAGAATAAACTATGAAATTCTGAGTCATCTTCTTGGCATAGTGGTAGGAAAAATAGTTTACTGGGAAACTGTGTGTATGTCTGGTTATTTGGATTATTTTTGAGACAGGATCACACTGGGCTCAGACTTTGCAGTCAACCCTCAGCCTCTCATAGTGCAGGAGTCACAGACATGCACCACTACACCTGGCTAAGAAACAGCACTACAGTGGTTTTAAGTATGGATTTTAAATTCAAATCTTGTATCTGTGGCCTGATTTATAGCTCAGGGAAAATTCTTTACCTTCTGTGTGTTATGTTCTGTGGGTATAACAATATCTGCTTTAGGTATTGATGAATGTAAAATATTGAACAGAAATCTGGTATATAGTTGAGTTCTCAAATATTAGCTCTTATGCTGGTGGTTCTATTTTCTGCTGTAACAAAATACCTGAGACTAGATAATTTGTAAAGAAAAGAAACCTTTAGGTTACAGTTCTAGAGGTCCAGAAGTACAACACTGGTCTCCAGTCACCCTGGTGAGGGTTCCACAGTGGATGCCATCACAATAACAGGCGTGTGTAAGGGGGAGAGATCACATGGTGAGACAGGAAGACAAAGTGGAGAGGGGCTGCTCTTGCTTTTTATACTGCCCTCTCCAGAACTAAATGGCTTCCCTAAGAAAGGACGGTTTGGTCTTGTCCAATGATAAGAGAAAGCATCCAAGGCCAGCACCCCTAGTGCCCAGTGACTGAATCATTCGGCATGGGGCTCCACCTCTTCCAGTTTCTCCCACTTTAGTACAGACTGAGGTACAAGTCATCCACATATAAGTCCCTGGAGAATAAAATTAAGCCATATCCAGACTGCAGCAACAACCTACCTTAGTCTTGAGTTATGTTAAGATTCTGAAGTCTTAAATAAAAGCCTATTCATCCTCCCACCTTAATTATCACTGAGAAGTCCAAGACCCCTATTACCTACTTGCCTTACATAGAGAATGGGGCTATTTGACAAATTTAGGAAACAGTGATGTTTTCTCTAAAGAACATGAAATGTGAGTGGGAGCTTTTTATACAAGGGAAAAGCATAGAGTGAAGACCAGGTGCTAGTTGGCTGAAAACAAATGGTTTACTGCCATATACAATATGTAAAACTTACTGCCATGTGGATATTTTCCATATGCCTTCTTCCAGGGCTAGACTAGTGGGCAACTAGGATACAAAATTTGAAGGATACACTCTAAGAATAATTCAGATATTTCTCAACTTTTTTTTCTTGTGACTTTGCCTCCTACGATTCATAACGAACAAGATCAGCATAATCTTGATTAGGTTAATCAAAAGGAAGTAGCATTCCAGTTGCTGTTTTAGATTATTTGGAAAGTATGTGTTATGCAGATTAGACAAAAAGTTAAAATCAAGAGATAAAGCTTTCAAAAGAAGGGAAGGAAGCAATACTATTAAGCACCTAAAACTCAAAAGGGATTGTGCTAAATTATAGTAACTATCTTTACTACACTATGAGAACAACTGCCTTTGTAAAGGAAAGTTCTTCAATGCATCCTATAAGAAAAACATCTTTATTACATTTAATTCCCATTTCTGGTGTATAAAAGAGATATCAGTGAAACTGTTGAGTAGAAATGAGAATAACCATGTGTATCAGTAATGTAAAAGGTAGTGTAGATGTTACTTACAAGGAATAGAGTATTCCTACCCTGGGTACTTAAGCTACTGTATATCTTCCCTTGACATTTCCAAGAAACAAACTGTAGATGTATAGCATTCATCTAAAAGCTAATAGGAACAATTATTGCAAAATAAGTCATGAAAGCATAAGTTTTAATGCAACAGAGAAAAAGGAAGATCAAGTAAGATTATTTAGAGTATCAATGGTTAATATTCGAAGACCTAAGAAGCAGTTACATCTGTTTTAAAAGTATCAATTAGAAATAAGAAAAGGGATATTTTTACAAGAAGAAAAAAAATTTTAGTTATGAATGTTTTTATTGTACTTGTAGACCAGGTTCCTTGACAGTCTAAAAGTTCAAAAAGAAAATTTGAGTAATTGGATGAAACTTTTCAGTTTGAAAAAGATTGCCATGCAACATGCCATTGTACATTAACGATCAAGCAACATAACAAACATGCATGGAAGTTGTGCCAACTTCCATGAAAGAGAAACATTGTTATCTTTCAATGGGAAGAAAAGGTGGAGGAAAATGATGCCAGGTTTGTGAGAAACTCTATTATGTATATATTTCTTCAAAAGAGATATTTGAACACTTTTAAACAAAATATTAACTTCTGTTAAATCAGGTCTTGGGACGTTATTTTTTTTTTTAACATCTTTCTATATGACTAGTATTTCACAATTTAAAATAAAATAATTGAATTCCTCTAATCCAGTGTTTCACTACCTTTTTTCATATCTGCCTTCCTTCCAATGAGTATTTTACTTTCATATCTATGTATGCACTATGTGAATGTGTCTATGTGGATATAAAGAGTAAGATTTTTCAGGCCGGGGATTTAGCTCAGTGGTTCTGCCACCTGCCTCGCAACCATAAGGTCTGGAGTTCAATCCCCAGTATCAAAAAAAACAGAGTAAGATTTTTCTCCCTGCCCCACCCATCCTAAAATCCAAACAACATCACATTAGAAAGACACATGATCCTGTGCAATACAACATTACAAATGTTAAGGCCTTGCCAGGTGTATTGGACACACCTGTAAACCCAGCACTGTGGAAAGCTGAGACAGGAGGATCTCAATTTGGAGCCCAGCCTAGGTGACATAGCAAGACCTTATCTTTAAAATATTTTTTTTTTAATGTAATGACAGAGCTGTAGTTCAGCGAGAGAGCACTAGATTCAATCCCCAGTACTCTTTCCCCTTTTCCCTCTTATTTTCCTGGAACAAAGGTGCTGAGAGGTGCTGTATCATTGAGCTACACCTCCAGAGCTTTGCAGTCCTACTTTGGCCTCCAAGTCGCTAAGATTATAGGTGTGTACCCCCATGACTAGTTGAAAAAAAATCTTTTGCTTTTCAAAAGATGTTATTAAGAAAATGAGAAGCTACAGACTGGGAAAAAATCTTTGCACAGAATTTATTTGATAAAGATTGTATCTGGAACACTTAACTCTCAAAACTCAGTAATAAACATTTCCACACAAGTAAAATGGAAAATAAACTTGAACAGACACCATTTCCAAAGATTTACGGATGACGAGTAAGTGTATGAAAAGATGCTCAACTTCATTAGCCGTCAGGGACATGCAAAATGTAGCCACAATAACAGCACCATAAAGAATAGTGCAACATAAATCTTTAACACTAGCAAGAATTATCAAGAAGACAGAACAAATAGCTCTCATACATTGCCTGTAGTAATAAAGTGATAAACCACATTGCAAAACTGGCTGTTTCTTACATAGTTAAAAACACCCAGGGGACTCAGTCATCTCATAAGTAACCAAGAGGAACAAAACCACAGAAAAACCTGTGAGTGTTTACAGTGGCTTTATTCAGCCTTCAAAATGGAACCACATGTATTCTTCAATGGCTGTATTTCATCTATAGAAAATATTAATCACTGCTACCTGAACTTAATACAGTTTATCTCAAATACATCATGTTAAAGATTCAAAAACTATAGACTATGATGCCATTTTCATGACATGTGAAGGCAAACTGTAAAACCAAGAAGGGTAGGTTGTCCCGATCCACATATGGATGAATAAGTTGGCTACAAAAGGACATGAGAATTTGGGGGCATGATCGCAATAATTTGTGTTCTCTTTATGGCTTTACGTTATGCATTTGTCAAAATGTAGATCTGTACATATACCAAAAAATTTTTACTGTTTAAAATAGTTACATAATAAAAAGGGTTTTTTCCTCTATATCATTTATGATTTGTGTATCTGCTTGGTATTATAATCTGGATAAATCTAATCCCTGATCCACCTGAGGTAACATTGGTATAAGATATCATACTATTTAGGATTAAACATTCTATTTTCTCCTTTAATTTTATGAAGGAATTTTTTAGACAAGTGAAGTTCAGAGATTTTTCCATACAATTATGGTTTGTTTCATATGTAAACATATTTTCAGCTTTTCTGAAGGAGCTAGTTAACTGATTGTTAATTTCTACCTACCATTGTTTAAAGACATTAAACTATCATTACTATATCTCTGACTACAGTGGAACTATCTGGACCCAGTACTATAATTTTTTTAAAGTCTTAGTTTTAGTTCTTGACTTTAACAAGTCAGTACACCTCTCTGATCCTTGGTTTCCACATTTATAATTCGGATATATTAACATCAGTCTGGCAGTACTGTTTGAGACATATACCCACAAATACATAGAACATCTGTTACTACTACCGATGTAT